CTCCCTCCCCATCATCAGTATTGCTATAGCCATCTGTTAAAGGTTTCTTTAAACCTAAGCCCTGCTTCAGCAAGCTGCAGGAGCCCCTAGGGGGCCCTAACATGTGCTTGAGGAATTCTAAAGTGCCCTCTCTGTCGATATTACCGTATGTCACCTAACCATGCCCTAAGGACTAGTCATCTTGTTAAGTGCAATTACAGCCTGATGAGTCAGGACCGTTGTCATATCTTTCTTAGCCAGGTTAGAAGCAGTAAAACAAGAAAGTATTAAAGTATTTTATGTAAAAGATGTGGTATTGCTGTGGATGCCAAAAATGTTGTGCCTACAGGCTCCATAGATGGAAATCTGACTCTGAAAGGTACAAAGAAGATACGATATGATAGATGTCTGTCTTATGGAAATGTATTAATATGTATTTGTTGGACAAATATAAAGAGAAAAAATTAAATTAAGTAGTCCATGGTTCTCCTCAAAGCAGTACAACAAACGGCCAAGAAGTACACTATGTGGACCCTGACTATCATGCCTCCTATATGGCCATAGTATCTGAACCCCACCCCCCGCAAATGATTGAGTTCAGGTGTCTCCAGTGAAGGTTCTGTTAATTCTACATCATTCAGAGACACTGTAGATAATTGTGCTCTTCCAACCTTGTGGTAACAGTTTGGTGAAGGTCCTTTCGTGTTCCACCATGACTGTCCCCTGTGCACAAAGCCAGCTCCATAAAGACACGGTGGGACCATTTTGGTGTGAAGGAACTGGAGTGTCCTGCACGAAAACCCTGACCTCAACCGTACTGGACACCAGCCAGGTGTTCTCGTCCAAGAGCTGCACCCTACTGGACACCAGCCCGGTCTTCTCATCCAAGAGCTGCACCCAACTAGACACCAGCCAGGTCTTCTCATTCAAGAGCTGCACCCAACTAGACACCAGCCAGGTCTTCTCATCCAAGAGCTGCACCCAACTGGACACCAGCCAGGTCTTCTCATCCAAGAGCTGCACCCAACTAGACACCAGCCAGGTCTTCTCATTCAAGAGCTGCACCCAACTAGACACCAGCCAGGTCTTCTCATCCAAGAGCTGCACCCAACTGGACACCAGCCAGGTCTTCTCATCAAAGAGCTGCATCCAACCCCACAAATGCTCTTTTGGCTCAATGGGCACAAATACCAACAAATGTACTTTGTGGAAGGTCCTTTTCTGTTCCACCATGACTGTCCTCTGTGCACAAAGCCAGCTCCATAAAGACATGGTGTGACCAGTTTGGCGAAGGCCCCTTTCTGTTTCACCATGACTGTCCTCTCTGCAGAAACCAGCTCCATAAAGACATGGTGTGACCAGTATAGTGAAGGCCCCTTTCTGTTCCACCATGACTGTCCCCTGTGCACAAAGCCAGCTCCATAAATACAAGGTGGGACCAGGTTGGTGTGAAGGAACTGGAGTGTCCTGCACAGAGCCCTGACCTCAACCCTACTGAACACCAGCCAGGTCTTCTCATCCAAGAGCTGCATCCAACCCCACAAATGCTCTTTTGGCTCAATGGGCACAAATAACAAGAGATGCACTTAGTGGAAGGCCATTTTCTGTTCCACCATGACTGTCCTCTGTGCACAAATTCAGCTCCATAAAGACATGGTCTGGCCACTTTGGTGTGGAGTAACCCGAGTGTCCCGCACAGAGCCCTGACCTCAACCCTACTGAACACCTTTGGGATGAAGTGGAACGCTGATAGCCAGCCAGTCTTATCCAACGTCAATACCTGACCTCACATATTACCACAAATTCCCACCGACACCCACAAAGTCTTGTGGAAAGCCTATGCACAAGAGTGGAGGCTGTTATAGCCAACTCCAAATGAATGGCCATGGTTTTGGAATGTCCAACAAGGGCCATTATGGTGGGTCCACAAGCTTCTGGCTTCAATAAGAAGGACCTTTGTATATTTTTCTATACCCTTTTGCTTCTCTTGCAGACACCTGATGCACTCATCACTACATTTAGACATCTAATTATAGAGAACAACAATACGTAAAGACAATAGAATGCAATAGGTAAGAAGATAACTAAATATATGGTAGTCAAAACATAGATATAGTAGTCAAAAAGCTGAACAAAGGAAACATAATAATGTTATTAAATAAAGGTCGAGTGCAAAGCCCATTACTTGGATGTAAACCACCATCAACCCGGATTTAGCTTCCTGATAATATTGTGACGTTGTAGAGTTTCCAGGCCACTGAGTTACAGTTCTTTGTTTTTGAACATCTAGTGAGGCTCTCCACACATTAGCTCCTCACCGCTGGCCACGAGCAGGTTAATCCACCAAAGACTTTGAGGTTGGGTATCCCTCGGCTGTACACCTGCCCTTGCTTTAGTGAGTTGAATCTATTATTTATGTCGTCATGTATTATTTACACATTCTTCTATTGAATTATGTGGCTGTTACTTCTCGAATGCTAGCTCACCCTGTTCTATATATGTTCTTGGCTCCAGTGTTTGTCCTGGTGTTTTATGTATCTATATGTAGTGGAAGAACACGTTACATATGGCTATGTAGGCTGGCTTTCGTTTTTCTCCGAAAGTAAACTGCAAGTTGCAAATAAATAACACATACAGTATATCCACAATACAAAAAGGAAGGAAGGACGGACACTTGGAGACTCTGGGTCTTCTCCTCATCAAAGCTGAGGACAAAATCCATCGGGAAAATCAAAGGCTTTAGATCTAAAGGGTAACGGAGCAGGTGGATAAAATCAAGTCAGGATGGGAACATCGGGTGGAACATTTGGGCCGTGGCAGGAGTCGGGAAAACTAAGAAAAGGCTGGTGTAGAATCTAGACATGGTTCACTGCAGGAAAACGGGGCAAGGAGAAGGCGGGCAAGGGAAAAAGTCTACTTCTTTGACTATTTGGTTTTCATCACTCACGGTAGAAAACGTATTCAGTGTAAGAGGTCCAGATCTTGTCATCTGTCAGATCGTGAGTGAAGGAGCATGTTCCAGTAGAGTTACACGCCACCATATGAAATCCGGCATCAGCCAACCTATCAAACGCCTGTTCCAGAAAAGTGAATTTCAGGTAGTACCTAGAGGTGTATCTTTCGGGGGGTCGATCTGGATCCCGGCTCTCGTTCAGGGTATCTCCAAAGACTTCCTTAGCTAGCGACGTCTTGCCACAGACCATTATCCTTGCTACCCTTCTGAATTTGGCATCTGTTTGACTGTCTCTTCCAAGGGTGTAGGAGCCACGGTAGCCTAAAGTTATGAACCCGGACCGATGAAGGTCTGAGATTGATTGGTTCCCCATTGCATCAAAAGACGTTTTGCGGCCGACCTCAATATTGGGGGACTGATCTTCTGAGTCACTCGGGAAAGCGTCGTCTCCAGTAGAGTTTTGCTTGCTGAATTTGGGGGCCAAGATTTTGACTAAGTCTGGGAGCTTGAAATACTCAGCCTCCCTCTGCAATCTACTTCTTTCGGGAAAATGTTCTGGAAGCACTAGCTGTTGGTCCCTCAAATAGTCCAAGACGTAGCGGAAGAGAAATCCGTCACGATCTAAAAAATAGCGGCCTTTGCTATCTCTGGCCAGAAGGCGAACATTTTTTTGGCCGAACATCTCCCACAGGAGGGAACCGGGGACGCTCACCAAAGTTGGATGACGGGTTATGTAGACTTGTCCACCGACGTTTAATTCTATGATGTCTGGAAACGGCGAGATGTCACAGCTTGAGTTATCGGGAAGAGCCATTTTGTTTTAATGTGGTCCCTTGAGAAATCCAAAACAACTGTCGGGTTGAAAAAGAAAAAGAGAATATTAGATTATAAACATGACATTTTAAAGAAGATCTAAAGCCTCACTAGATGACATTTACTCTGCTAAAGCATCCTGTACTGTAAGCAGGGCCGTCCCTTTAATGAGGCAGTTGGCTCAGGTGGCATCTCTTTGGGTTGCTTGGAGGGAGGGGGGGCGAGAAGAGCGCCATGTTGGTTGTATAGTGGCTGCTCTGCTGCACAATGCCACCGCCTTTGCAGGCTAAGGAGATGTGCAAGGGCCAGACACATCTCCCCAACCAGCTCACAGCAAACTGGGACACTCTGACCAGCGTTCTGACCACCTCCCGGCAACCAGTGAGCTGGGCAAGACACCGGCCAGAGCTTCCCAGGTCTGCAGGGGGCAGTGTCACTATCATGCACCATCAACCACCATTTAAGGTCCACTTCTACTGTCTGGGCCCCCTCCCCCTTCACACATCACCTACTAATAGTAGGTACAAAATGTCCCTGAAAATAAAAAAAAGTTGGGGTTTATACTTACCTCACCCCCATTTTTCACCAGTGGTGCCTAGGCGTTGATGGCGTCACACTCCTTCCGGCTAGACCTGGGGAATAAAGAGCGGCTGAACTGTAGCAAGAAGACTCTCGTGCAATATAATTGAACGTCTTCTTGTGAGATTTGACCTGCTCTGCATTCACGAGAAGTCGTCCTGGAAGAGCGGTGACGTCGCGCTCAGCTATGTGGAAGACGGGGGTGAGGTAGGTATAAATCTAACTTTTTTGCAGGAGCATTTTGCACCTACTCACAGTAGGTGGTTTGTGGAGGGGGCCCAGGCAGCTTGAACAGACCTTGCATTGTACTGGCTTTAATAAGGCTTTCATATCATTTTTGGTCTTTTTGAAAGTGGACCTTGCATGAAAGGTCCGTTTATCTTGCAGCCTCCTCCGCCTCAATAAAGAAACCTTAATAGAAGCTTAAAAAAAAGGATGAAAGACCAGAAGAAAAAAATGACACCCAACTTCCACCCCTTGTAAGTTCCTGAGATGCCACTGGGCTTCTCCGTGGGATCCTGGGAAAGCTGAGGGCCAAAATCGCTTGAGGAGACAAACCAGCACTGTGGAATTTCCCCTTAGCTTGGTGAATGAGGTGAACATTCACACTGCAAGCAATACCCAATCACAAGCAAGGAAAATACAATTTAAAAAAACGTAATTTTTGCTTGCACGTGATTGGATGTTGGAAGTCAGCAGAGCGTCACCTCATTCACTAAGCCAATGTAAAATTCCCCTGCAAAGCAAACAGCTTATTTGGTTTTAGTGAATCAACACCCACTATGTTTCATTCACTTTTCATATACCATATGGCCAAAAGTATGTGGACACCCCTGTATTTTAGGACATGTGCTAGGCTCCTTGGTTCTAGTGAAGGATCCCAGTATTGCAACAGCATATAAGGACAACTGTACTTTGGTGAAGGTCCTTTTCTGTTCCACCTTGACTGCCCCCTGTGTACAACACTAGCTCCTGAACAGAACCCTGACCTCAACCCTACTGAACATCTATGGGATGAATTGGAATGCCGAATGTGAGCCAGGTCTTCTCATGCACAAACCCGGCTCCATAAAGTCATGGTTTGACCAGTTGGGTGTGGAGGAACTTCAGTGTCCTACACAGAGCCCAGACCTAAACCTTAATGAACATGACTGTCCTCTGTGTACAAAGCCAGCCACATAAAGACATGGGGTGAGACATGTGGTGTGACCAGTTTGGTGTGGAGGAACTCGAGAGTCCTGCACAGAGCCTTCAACCCTACTGAACACCTTTGAGATGAATAGGAACGCCAGTTATGAGCCAGGTCTTCTCATCCAACATCAGTACCTGACCTCACAAATGGGCACAAATTTTCCACAGACACCTCCAAAATCTTGTGGAAAGCCTTCCCAGGAGAGTGAAGGGCCAACTCCGTATTAATGGTTTTGGGAAGGGATGTCCTACAAGCTCATATAGTTGTGATGGTGAAGACATGGTTTGACCACTTTGATGTGGAGGAACTTGAGTGACCTGGACAGAACCCTGACCTCAACCCTACTGAACATGACTGTCCCCTGTGTACAAAGCCAGCTTCATAAAGACATGGTGTGACCAGTTTGGTGTGGAGGAACTTGAGTGACCTGGACAGAACCCTGACCTCAACCCTACTGAACACCTTTGGGATGAATTGGAAAGCCGATTGTGAGCCGGATCTTCTCACCTAACATCAGTACCTGACCTCACAAATGGCCACAAATTCCATAATCCTGTGCAAAGCCTTCCCAGAAGAGTGGAGGGCCAGCTCCATATGAATGGCTTTGGAAAGGGATGTCCAACAAGCTGATATAAGTGTCACGTTCAGGTGTCCAAAAGTTTTTGGCCATGCAGTGTTACATACTTGTTACATTTCTGAAAGTCAAAATCTTAGACAAATTTGGATCTCGGACTCCCCTCTGAATAGCGTGGAACATACGCAGTCTCACCAGTCTTTGGTTTTCTTACCCCTCACAGTAATGACGGGGAATTAGTAGCTGTGGCTTAAACTGTCAGCACTGGCGATTAGCAGAATTGCTTTCCCTCTAATCCATTTTGATAGCTCTAACAAGGTCTATAAATAGTTAAAGAGGCAGAAGGGGGATCAGGAAGACAGTGGGATAAGAACAGGGGACGCAGTCTACAGGAAGGAATAAAGGAGTCATTAAGGGGACAATGGCTGAAAGCATGCCATGAAGCAGGCCGAGATGAGTACATGAGGCCATGATGAGTACATGAGGCCATGATGAGTACATGAGGCCATGATGAGTACATGAGGCCATGCGGCCATGATGGGCACATGTCATACCAGGTTGTAAGGGGACAGAGATGTTAAAACGACCCGTTTACAGCAATTATTAATATATGCCCCTGAAGAATCCCATTCACAAATGACCCGGACATCCTTTTAATAGGCCAGTCGAAGCATGATGAGTTACAGGTTCGGTGGAAATAAAGCAGCATTTTAAATCTTTCCTCTCTACGTTCTCTCTGTCCACCTATTGACTAATTGCCCAAAAAAATTATTCAAAAGGTGATCTTATCAATTAACTTTAATGTATTTTTTAAAGATAGAATTGGGATTTTTTTTGCATTTAATGCATTTAAATTCTCTAACCTTAGGTCATCTAAAACTCACTTTTATAGAATATGCAGTATGAGTGATAACTTTTATTATACAATATATTATTTTATTACTATATTTATATACATTTCTTATCAAACTATAAAGCAAGAATT